GAATTTTGTTTCAAAAAAATGGATTCAAATACTTGCAAACAAAAGTTGGATTATGTGAAAACAAGTTGTATATACTCTTTGAAACATATAAAAGCAAGTCTATGACCGCGGCCCCTAGTTCTTCAACTTTGATCACTTCTTCATGTAAAAATGCAAGAATAGAAGAAACAATTGATGAAATGATTGATGAAACTTGTTATTTTTGTGTCATTTTTGTTATTTTCTATTGTATATTGTTGTAACACTTTTTAATATTTTTATTTCTACTTCTACTATATCTACTATACTAATAAGAGCCCAAGAGAGTTAGGCCTATAATGGGTAGAAAAAATGGCGGTCACAGATTTTAATCAAATGAATGGTTCAGATTGATTAAAAGATTGATCAGATTTAAATTTTACACTAAAATTTTCTAAAATACCCACACATCATTACTAATTCCGTTAAAATTTTAAGAATTGTCGTTAGTTCACCGTTAACTTACTCATTGATTTCAATAAAAAGAAAAAAAAGTCTTAGGTTCGAACCACATCCCAATCAAAGTTGTCATAATTAGTACTCTATTTTACTCTTATTAAATTATATAAATAATAATTTAGTAGTTACAACAAAAAATAATACATATGCATTTCTTTAATTTAGAATTATGTATTCACAATGTCTTTATTCAAAAAAAAAATAAAATTATTCATTATCAATAAATTAAATAAGATAAATAATTTTATTAGTTATATTGTCTTTATTTTTCTTTATATTCAAATTTATTAATTGATTATATTCGCTACATTGTCCTTACAATGTCTTTATTCATTGAAAAACAAATTATTAATTATCAATAAATTAATTAAAAGAAATATTTTCATTAGTTATATTCTTTATTTTTCTCAAATGTACAAATTTTTAAATTCAAATTCATCAATTGATTATATTCACTACATTATCTATTATCTTTTTTGTGCACTATTTTTCTAATTAAATATCAAAGTTATAACATAAAATAATGCTATATATTTATTTACCAAGTATTTTATTAATACCATGAAAAAATTAAAAAAAAAATATAATTAATAAAGCCAACCATATTAACTACTTGAGAGATTTTGTGACAAAGAGAGTATTCAAATCACACAACAAATTGAAGTGAGAACTACCTCGCAATGTCCTTGTTTGACAATCAACAGTTAGCGGTTAACGTTAGCGGATTATACAAGCGGATTTGACCTGCGAATTTATTTAATTATTAACATTGGGTAGAAAAAATGACCACCAAATTATTAAATCAAATGAATGGTTCATATTGTTCAGGTTTTAATTTTTTTCTTTTAAGATTTTCTAATTTATCCTTAATTATATGATTATCCATTTAACTTTTCCGTTAATTCACCGTTAGTCTAATTCTAATATTAAAGTCTAATATAGAATTATAACTACACCATTAATCTAATTCTAATATTAAAGTCTTAATAGAACTTAACCACAAATCCTAATGTCGGAATCTCTTCAAACAATATTAGTATATATTTCATATTTTATGCACTAATTTTTATTTATTCTCCCTTATGTCCCGTATTTGGTTTCAACCATACTTATACAATTATTTTATTGACAATTATAATCAATATTGACTATATTATCTTGCATTTGTAAACTTAGAATTACATATTTAACCTGCACGGGCTTAGCTCAATGGTTTAGTAGGTAGTATTTGGGAGAAGAGACCAAGGTTTGAACCTCGGAGGCGGCAATGCGTGAATTATGTCCAAAGTGGGCAGATTCCTTGTGCGTACCAGCATTTGGCCATGTATGCTGAACCATTGAGTCACCGTGATTTACAACTTCCCACGATGCTCTGTCGGGTCGGAGTGTGGGGGGGGGGGGGGGGGTCCTTGGGTTGGGGACTCAACCTTTGGGAGAAGAATTACCTATTTAAATACGCAAATTCAACCTTCAATTATCTATGCATGAACAATTTCAATATAATATTGCCTTAATATATATACTTTAAAGTACTTATTTTTAAAAAAGCATTGGACATTATCCCAATCGCGCAATGCGCGTAAAAAACTAGTTATACTTATAAACATGGTTGCAGTAGGCGCTAGGCGCTAGTCGGGCGGTCGGGCAGCGCCTAGGCGGAATCGAGGCGGCACTAGGAGGACACCAAAAAAATTTAAAAAAAATAGTGGCAGACTTGTAGTTTGGCAATTTTAATAAGGTTATTTTCAACATTCAATCAAATAACACATCTAAATAAATGAAATAATGATAATTTATAAGTCATAACGTCATAATAATATTAAAATTAAAATCAATAATTAATGAAAGACGACATCGGTCAAAATCGAACAAAATCAGTCAAAATCAGACATAATCGATCAAAAACGGTCAAAATCGGACTAAATCGATCGACTCGGCCGAGTTTTGGCCGCCTTTAGGCCAAAACGGCAAGGCTTGGTGCCGCCTAGCGCCTAGGCGGCCGAGTTTTGCAATCATGCTTATAAATGATAGAGAAGTTTGTTGAATATTGCCAATATGATGTGGGTAATGAAAAATCAGCATTGACAACATTTGGATGAACCACAAAATGACATAAAGATGTATATTGATATAGATATCTTGAACTTTTGGAAGGAAAATAAAGGTACACAAACTTGAAAATAGTAGCGGTGTCTTAGCCAATACATATTGACCTCACTTCATTCCCCGCCTATGTTTTATTAATTTTACTACACAAGTATTTGGTCTCCTTTAGTGAGACTACATGAGCTTATTTTATACCATCCATATATGGGAGTGTTGAGCTGTTGATTGCTTATCCAATCCATCTTTAAGATGTCATGCTACCTGCAACACCTGAGGATAATAAAAATAAATAAATTAAAATTCTTGAAAAAAAAAAAAAGATTATTACATTTTAACATATAATAATATATCTACCTGCAGTAGGTGGATTTGGAGGTGCAGCAAGCGGTGGTTGATTGGTGGCGTTCTGAGCGGAAGGGGTGGCGACGGCGACGCCTGGCCAAGGACGACATAAGCAATGGTTGCCGGTTTCAATGGTGGCGTAGAGGGTGGTCAAGTGCTTCCCACATCCTCCCCAGGAGGACTTCCCGCACTGCCGGCAATCAACTTTATAGCACATCCTAGCTAGCTAGCCTTGATTTCAGATCAATTCAATGCGTTACGTTGTATGTGTATGTGCATTTCTTCACGTCTATATAAATATATATATATGATTTCCCTTAACCCCTTTAGTTTATAGGATCATATATGTAACTTTGGGATTGACACCTAACCAATAAAAGAACCCTTGGTGGCATCAATTTTTAAGTTATTGGATGGAAAGATTCACCAATGAACTCTTGGTGGCATCAATTTTTGCTTCGAATTTGGAAAGATTCATTTGTCCACTTATTATTATTATTATTATTATTATTATTATTATTATTATTATTATTATTATTATTATTATTATTATTATTATTATTATTATTATTATATTATTATTATTATTATTATTATTTGAGAAAATTATCAAATAGGCCCTCGAACTTGCTGAAAAGTCAATTAGCTTAGGCTTCTAAACTTTTTAAAGGTGCAATTACACTCATCAACAATTTATTTTGATGCAGTGAAGTCCAAAACCTGCTATTACAAGTCATTAGGGTTCCGGCTACCCTCCGGTGAAATTTCAGGCAAAAAAGTAACCGAAGAACGGCAAACAGCGAACGATTAACCTCAATAGTTGTTGAGGTCAAGATTTGATTATCATGATTCCAATTCCATGCGAATCAATCTCACTCTAATTAGTCAAAGCTAATTTAACTAAGAGTAAATATCCAAAATGGTCCCTTGACTATAACTAAATTCACAAATTGGTCATTGACTTTCAATTTCAACCAATTAAGTCCTTAATTTTGTAATTTTGACACGATTTGGTCCTCCATCTATTTGACTGTTTGTTGACCGTGATCGGCGATCTCCAGAAGAACCTTCAGCTCTCGTCGGAGCACGTGGAGGCCTTCAGGATGACTTTGCACCGGTTCGGAAACACGTCGTCTTCTTCGCTCTGGTACGAACTCAACTACATTGAATCCAAAGGAGGATGAAGAAAGGTGACCGGATTTGGTAGATTGCTTTCGGCAGTGAATTCGAATGTAACCGTGCAGTCTGGAAATGCAACCGGAACCTTAAAAAACCGACTATGGATCATGAAAGTACATATATATTCTCAAAAATCACAGTCAACAAATGGTCAAATAGACAAATGACCAAATTGTGTTAAAATTACAAAGTTTTTTTTGAAACAAAACCAGATCAACTATTAAAATTACAAAGTTAAAGACTTAATTGGTTGAAATTAAAAGTCGAGAACCAATTTGTGAATTTTGCTATAGTCGAGGAACCATTTTAGGTATTTACTCTTTAAATAAGTAGTCAACTCATCAATAGAATCAAACCAATTACTCGATGGATGAACTTGAACGATCCAATTGAAAATGTACTTCAATCAATATGATGATATGTAAATCTAGTTAATTTAATCGATAATATTAAAATCTTATTTCAGATGTGATAAAAACTACTGCATACTCCTAAGGAATATAATGTATCAAAAATAAAAATCTTATAATTAAAATCAACATTCAACAACCTACTTCAAACTGTAAAATTATCAATGCCTTGGAAAATGTTTTGTTTTTAATGTTTATCATACATTTGTTTGAGTGAATCGTTGATGAGTTGACCATTTAACGTTCAATATTTCCCTGGCCCCTCTGAAACCACACGTTTTCCTCCAATCCCGCTCTAGAATTTTGCAGAATTACAATCCACCTAATTTTAGACATCTATCGCCCAGAAAATTAAAGAAAAAGAAGAAATTAAAGCAATGGAGATTTGTCCTGTGGAATCAATCCGCATTTAGTCTGTATGAATGATATGAAAACGCCATTAAACCTTGACTTTCTAATCGATCGCATTAAATAACCACCCTGTCCTGTTCTAGTGTTGAATCGAAGATCTCTGATCCAGTTTTGAAGAAGATGATGATGAAGAATTCAAGAAGCAAGAAGAAGATGTTGGAATGCAACAGCAGCAACTCCCTGCGGAGAAATAGGGGGGTGTCGTTACAGCCCGATCCCGGCGACGACCTTTCTTTCCGCTTCAGCACCGCATCGGATTCCGCTAACGACACCCGGACATCGTCGTCGTCGAACATGGGATACTACGACGACGTCGTTTCCTGGGCCGACTCGCCGTTCATCCCCGGAAGTTCATTCGACCAGTACCCGTCGTCTCCCTTGGCCAGGTCTCCCTGGCACGCTCAGAGCTCTGCGCCGCCGCCCGTCGCCGCCGCCGACGGCGACGGCGACGACGGCTACTCCTACACCGGCCCAATGGGCTCCCTGGTCCGCGAAGAGGGGCATATATACTCCTTGGCCGCCTCCGGCGACCTGCTTTATACAGGCTCCGATAGCAAGAACATAAGGGTATGGAAAAACCAGAAGGAGTTCACGGGGTTCAAATCCAACAGCGGGTTAGTGAAAGCGATTATAATCGCCGGGAAGAGAATCTTCACCGGGCATCAAGACGGCAAAATTCGAGTCTGGAAAGTCTCCAGCAAGAACCCCAGCGTTCATAAGCGAATTGGGACTTTACCCACGTTCAAAGCTTGTATCAAGAAGTCGATCAAACCCAGCAATTACGTGGAGACGAAGAAGAACCATAACGCCGTGTGGATCAAACATTTCGACGCCATTTCATCTCTCACGCTCAGCGAGGATTCCACGCTCTTGTACTCATCTTCCTGGGATAAAACCATTAAAGTCTGGAGAATAGAGGATTCTAAGTGCTTGGAATCAATAAGCGCCCACGACGACGCCGTGAATTCCGTGGTTTTGGGGTTCGACGGGCTAGTCATTTCCGGGTCGGCCGACGGGACGGTGAAGGTGTGGCGGCGGGAGTTTAAAGGATATCGCACAAAACATTTCCTCGTGAAAACGTTGTTAAAGCAAGAATGCGCGATTACGTCGCTGGTTGTTGACCCATTGGATACCTATATTTACAGCGGCTCCTCCGACGGGCTGGTGAATTTCTGGGACCGGAACATGGACCCGTTGCCGTCGGGGGTGTTGCGGGGCCACAAACTGGCGGTTCTGTGCCTAGCGGCGGCCGGGAATTTAGTCTTCAGCGGCTCCGCCGACACCAACATCTGCGTGTGGAGGAGGGACGGCTTCGATCACCTGTGTTTGTATGTCCTGAGCGGCCACGCCGGCCCCGTTAAATGCCTGGCGGTGGAAGAAGACGGCGCCGCCGCCGAAAGTAACTGGATACTCTACAGCGGCAGCCTTGATAAGTCGGTGAAGATATGGAACGTGTTTTCGCAATCGCCACCCATGCAATCACAAAATCTCCAGATCATCCCACAACACGCGGCGGCGGCGGCGGCGGAGGCGGACGCTGGCGGCTTCTTCCCGCCGCAGCCCACCTTGTCGTCCCAAGCTAGCAGAATACACCGCAGCAGGCATGAATGGTAAGATCGAGAAACCGGCGCGGCGGGGATTAACGTTGTCACTATCACCAAAAGATAAGGACGACGGCGTCAATAATAATCCCCCAAAACATGCATGCATTCTGTAAATACGTTGATTGAGATAGATTCAGATACTATACGGAAGAAATAATTCCTATAGAAGCCGCCGTGCCCGGGAACCCAAAATTTCATGCATTGGTTGACAATAGATGGGCGGCCTGTACTTTTCAAGTTCACCTGGGGTAGCTATCCAAATATCAATACATTATTATTATATGTAGTTGTATATGGATTTTGTTTATTCATCTAATTTTGGCAAGGAAAGTGTTTTATACTCCCAAATTTTACTCACACACCAAACCTTAATGTAGACACTTGTTTTAGGACCGACAAAAGTACCTTATCATAGCTCACTCCAAAGAGTAAAATTTGGGAGTACAACATTTATATCTCAGATGGTATTAACTCTTTTTTCATATGAAAGAGTATAAAATGCACAACAAATAAATGTCTATGTAGTGATAGATTTAACAATGGATCTATTTCATTGCTAAATTAGTGACAGAATAGTGACATATTAAGCTATTAGCGACGAATTTTCAACGGATTTGCGATGGATATTGCGACAAAATATTTCTGTCATTAAATATGTAATTAATTTTAGGGATAAAAGTATAAATAAGCCACTGAAATATTTGGGAAAGAGCAATTAAGCCATCGAACTCAAATAACCTCCAAATAAGCCACTGAGCCCGGGAAAAAAAAGCAATTGACATTTTTAATAGGTTACCTTCCCACTTTTGCTGACTTGGTTGCCACATATTTATTTTATTTTATTTTTTATTATTATATTATAATCCACCTAGATTAATTTTAAGCAAATTTTCAAATTAAACATCCAACCCTAAATTATCTCTCCCTAATCGTGACTTCTATCTTCCTCTCCTAATTAAAGGTGTGACTTCTATCTTCCTCTCCTAATTAAAGGTGTGCAGAATCATCTTAGCTTTAATGGATTAAAACTTTTCATTCTTCCTCTCCTAATTAAAGGTGTGCAGAATCATCTTAGCTTTAATGGATGAAAACTTTTCATTTGTGGCTGATATTGAAGCACTATGTAAACACTTAAAATTTTGAGGCCGTAAGTAAAATGAAATTCATATTAAATTTCATAATCAAAGTGTACAAAAGAACTAATACATTACCAAGTACTCCCTCCGTCCCATTTTATCTGTCTTACTTTCTATTTTAGTCTGTCCCAAAATATTGTCCACTTTCTAAAATTGAACATCATTATTATTCCTTTTTTCCCAATTTACCCCTATGAGATTTTACAATATCCCAATTTATTATTCTGTTTTTGAAATTTATCCATACTTCCAGGCGCCACCGTACCCTTTCCATCCAACACCTCCGGCGCCGCCGTACCCTTTCCATCTCAACACCTCTGGCGCCACGTACGCCGGCGTCCCATACTGGGTATAGACCAAACCATTGTTCCGGAGTTGTTCCGGCAAAGTGGACAGTCCAAAATCTAAAAATTTCAAGTTGTCGTGTTCGTTGAGGAGTAGATTTTCCTGCTTGAGATCCCGGTGATAGATGATGCGGCTGTTGCAGAAATCCACGGCGCTGACCATACTGCAGTTTCATCAAAACCAAAGAGTTGCAAAAGCTAATCCAAAACAATTATACTACCAAACATAGATATCCATCAAGGTCTCAAATTATATAAAGGATTCAAAATGAAATGAAAGTAGAAGTTTGGCGATGCAGATTTCAATATCTTCAATGAAATAAAAGGATTCACGAAGATTTGCATTTCCGCATTTCGTCTCGCCTCATTATTCATGTGTTGAAATTTCTACGAAATTAGGTGATACAGATCTTCAATATCTTCTCATATGAGTATGGAGATGTTGATCTCAAAATTTTCGTGGAAGAAAGAATTTTAGAATTCTTATTTGGAGTGAAAACTAGAGAATTTTAGAATTCTTATCTGGAGAGAGAACTAGAACCAGAGAAATAGAAACAAAGAGAGAGAAGAAGTGTATAGTGTGCAGTGTTCTAGTGGGTTCTTGAGTACGTGAGAGAAAATAAAAAGGGGCAAAACTGGAAAACAAACAACTTTTACTTTGCTCCCTTAAATTTCGTGCAAAAAGAAAACAAGACAACCATTACGGGACTGAGGGAGTACTAGTTAATTTCACAAAGAACAAATACATCAATATGTATTCTTAATTGCAAAAAAAAAACAAAAAAATTCTACATCAATATTAATTGTACTGCATTAATTGTACTGCATTTATATCTACGAAAAAGATATATCAATATATATATCAACCGAAATTGGAACAAATAATCCTCAGATTATAAATCCAATCCACAACTAAATCAAATAGAGAGAAGGATTTTGCTTAGAGGCATAATCCAAAACCGAAAGAAGGAAAAGATGGCTCGTGTATGGGTATAGGGTTTTTAGCGTGAGTCAAGAAACCACTCTTTCCTTAAAACCTTATTTGCCACCTCCCAAAAATGCTAGGAGCGTCGTGGCCTAGGTTTCCCAGGATAAAACGCGCTACGGTTCGACGTTTGAGCACCCAAACGAGCGAACCCGGCGAACTAGAGCAAAGCCTTGAACACAGTTAGGCTTAAGACGAGAGTAGAAGTAGAGTTTTGAGGAGATAAAACACTTCCTGTGTTGTGTGTTCTTGTGACTATGTGCTTGGAAAATCTGCTGCCCTCTACCCCTTCTTATATAGGGATGTAGTACGTACCTTAATAGCATTGAACAAGGCCATTTAAGCTTGCCTTTGTAACATCTGAAACAGCAAGCCATTACCCAGGATTTAAATTCAAAATTGAAATTGGAGTTAATTAAAATTAAATCTGTAACTGAAGAATTTAATCCCACTTTTGTCTGTTGATATTCAGCCACCCCAGACTGGCCAGGGGGCCGAAATTGTAGTTCAGTGACTACTACTCGTGTTGGAAAAATGATACCGAAAGTTGGCATAACTTATGCCCGCAAGGCCAGCCAATTTCGTGCCCGCAGGTGCCGGCGCACACGAGCTCGGACTTGAATCAAGCCTTTTCGATCTCGTTTCTAGTTGGAATTTGATTTGCACCGCCCCCACCCCCGCCCTGCCCCTTTGCCATCCCTATAGGACGACATGCAAGATGGACAACAACTCACGCCCTCAATTTTTAGAGGGTGCAATATTTATTTTGACCTAGCTAGCTATTTAAGATTTTTTTTTTAAAAAAAATCTATAATTAATCATAAAACTCATCAATTTTTTCCCAAATCACTTCTCTCTCCTAATAATTAGGACCTAAGTAATTGAGCATAGTAAAACCATTTGGGAAAAGGTACAAATATGCTATTGAACTATTTGGTGGATAACAATTAAGCCGCCGAACTCGAATAAGCTCCAAATTGATTCATGAACCTGCAAAAAAAGTGCAATAACATTTTTAGTAGGTTACCAATAAGTTTGTGACGATTAGGATGCCATGTGTATTATCATCATCATCATCATCATCATCATCATCATCATCATCATCATCATCATCATCATCATCATCATCATCATCATCATCATCATCATCATACTAAGCATTTGACCCAAAAACAAAAAACTAAGGCATTATGACGAAATAATACAAGAGGTAATTGAGTTAAACTATTATTATTCTTTTAAATAGACCATGAAGTTTGACACCAATATATACCAGCCATTGTCATCCCATTTGATCTGTTACGATTGGATAAACCATCACAAAACAACATTCACCGTATATATGGATCTATATAAAAATTATTAATTATTAATATATGAATACTATTAATATTAATATTAATATTATTAAACATAATCCTGTGGTCTTTGGTATTTGGGATGATTCTGGAAATACTATTAATAGTTTAACTTAGTTTTTATTTTTTATTTTTTTTTTTTGGGTCAAATGCTTAGTTAGGTAGTAGTAGTAGTAGTAGTAGTAATAATAATAATAATAATAATAATAATAATAATAATAATAATAATAATAATAATAATAATAATAATAATAATAATAATAATAATAATAATAATAATAATAATAATAATAATAATAATAATAATAATAATAATAATAATAATAATAATAATAATAATAATAATAATAATAATAATAATAATAATAATAATAATAATAATAATAATAATAATAATAATAATAATAATAATAATAATAATAATAATAATAATAATAATAATAATAATAATAATAATAATAATAATAATAATAATAATAATAATAATAATAATAATAATAATAATAATAATAATAATAATAATAATAATAATAATAATAATAATAATAATAATAATAATAATAATAATAATAATAATAATAATAATAATAATAATAATAATAATAATAATAATAATAATAATAATAATAATAATAATAATAATAATAATAATAATAATAATAATAATAATAATAATAATAATAATAATAATAATAATAATAATAATAATAATAATAATAATAATAATAATAATAATAATAATAATAATAATAATAATAATAATAATAATAATAATAATAATAATAATAATAATAATAATAATAATAATAATAATAATAATAATAATAATAATAATAATAATAATAATAATAATAATAATAATAATAATAATAATAATAATAATAATAATAATAATAATAATAATAATAATAATAATAATAATAATAATAATAATAATAATAATAATAATAATAATAATAATAATAATAATAATAATAATAATAATAATAATAATAATAATAATAATAATAATAATAATAATAATAATAATAATAATAATAATAATAATAATAATAATAATAATAATAATAATAATAATAATAATAATAATAATAATAATAATAATAATAATAATAATAATAATAATAATAATAATAATAATAATAATAATAATAATAATAATAATAATAATAATAATAATAATAATA